AGAGGCCATGACACAAGCTGTTGTTTAATCTACAGATGAGAATAAAAACTAATAATTTTTATCATTGTAATTTAAATTGTTATTTTTTTTTTTTGCATTTCCTGTCTACTTGTATTAAATGAATAACAATGGCACCAATCTTTGTAGCCCATGTTTACTAGTAATGTGCAGTTGTCATGAAATAGAGGTTGCTTTGTGATATAAGTTCCAATAGGAACAAATACATTGTATTATGGCCCCATTGTTTATAACAAAGTTTCCATTGGAACTTCTGTCATGAGCAACAAATATACGTTGACACCTCTAGTGAAAATATAGAAAAAATCATGAAAAATGGAGACTTCAATAGTTTACTTACAAAACATAATTTTAATTGTGGGTGCCGAAATAATTAAAAGAGGGCAAAAGATACCAGAGGGACAGTCAAACTCATAGATCGAAAATAAACTGACAACGCCATGGCTAAAAAAGAAAAAAATACAAACAGACAAATAATAGTACACAAGACACAACATAGAAAACTAAAGACTAAGCAACACGAACACCACCAAAAACTGGGGGTGATCTCAGGTGCTCCGGAAGGGTAAGCAGATCCTGCTCCACATGTGGCGCCTGTCGTGTTGCTCATGTTATTACGAACCCAGTAAATAGTCTAATTCAGTAGGTCACATTAGTGAAAAGGGACGGGGATTGTAGTTACGACATAAGGAACATATCCGATATCATCTGTGAAACGGTTATTCCACAACGGTCAACCAACTCGTGATGGCGTCCGTAAAATTTACGAAGGGATGATCTCAACTTCACCATTTGGAACTCTTGGTTTAATAAAATTGAGAACAGCTTCATGTGAGCAGCAACCCTCTATCAAGAAAATCATGATAGGAAATACAAGCCCGGGAATAACTTGAGTGCCAAATTAACCAGGTCCGATTTGACTATAACGGGTGCCTATTTGACCATGCAGGTGCCGATTTAACCAGGTTCCGAAATGACTAGAATTCTTTCAAATCACGATATTCGTATGGTCATTCTTCTAGTCAGTTTTCTCTGAGCAGGTCATAATTTTTATTTAAGTAACGCGTCGATCGACTTAAATTCATAATTCTTGAAATACCCGCCCATCCAGCCCTATCTTAATTATATTTTTTTATAATCAGAACTTTTTCTTCTGTGTATATAGCGGCCGGGTTTTTTGGAAAGATACGGTTTTTTACCTTTTGTTTGAGTAAGTTACATGTAATTGCATTGTGACTGTCATTTGTTTTATGTATTGTGTGTATAGTTTATGTTGTGTAGACCTGTAAGTTTTTTGAGATACTGATCTAAGTCTAATAAATGTTTTTACATACTTTTCTTTTGTTTGAAATTTGCCACTAAACAAGGGCGTTTTTTATTGGTCTCTTCTGTACATCTCCAGAATGTCTTCTGGTGATGAGTCCAAAAAAATGAATCTGGACCTCTTCTGGAGATATTTTGTAGAAGAAGCAATAAAACAAAAATTCAATTTGCCATCGAATATAGCAGATTTTTTTTTATGCTGGATGACATAAATGAAGTTTATGATGATTTATTAGAAAATTAAGATACGTCATCATGGTCATGCAGTTCCGATTCGGAATTAAGACATGACTGTAATAGTGTGCTCGGTTTTGGCATTGATGTAATTATAAAATAAGTGTAAAATCAAAGAAATTAGTTCGAAGAAATTTCTGTATTCGTGACATTTTTCTTTATGCTTTCCTAACTCAATTTTGCTAAATAAATCCTGCTTAAATCCCAAATCATTTGATTTTCAGGAATAATCTTAAACTGTACAAGAATTTGTCAATGTTTGTCTAGTATATGATCGAAAAAGACATATTAATTTTTTTTTAAGTAACCAAACTGGCATACCCAACTATATCAGTCCTATTCAGGACCGATAACTCTGTCGATAAATATTGTCGGGTATACAATGTTGTTGAAATCAGAGCAATTGTATTATATGTCTCTGTTGAAATGTATACAATAACAAATTTTTTTACACAAGTTTAACTTTATATCGATTTATTGAATGCCTGGATTTTGCTTAAATATTGAATTAAAAAAAATAAATAATAAAATCATATTCAATAAAATCTCGTTTAATTTTTTACGAAATAATTCAAAATCCATTTAAATTAAAATTTGAATCAAAATATTTCTTTTAAATAATTATAGAAACATAAATATTAGTTTGATTATCTTTTAAAGCAAAAAAGATTTTTTTAAAGATTTTTTTTTATAATATTCATATTTTCTTCAAGTTTATTATGATACATACTTCTTCTGGTTTGACACGGGGAAGAGAAGATATTTATTTGTACAGTTATGAAAACTTTTGTATATCACAAAATATAAACTCTGGTAATACATGTATACACAGGATGTTTAATGTCACCTGGTTGCTTTTGGTTTGCACGTCTTACTGACAATATATTGTTATGTAACATTACATCCAAAGTCAGAATTCACCTGTTCGTCAAGTGATGGGATTTTGAAGGTATGGAATATTTATCTATAATAATTGTTGGGATTTTTTTCTCTCTTGGGACGTAAATATTTGTTTGTTCTAAAAGGAATGTATAAATATATTTCTAGAAGATAAAGAAAGATAAATTATACAGGAAACAGGAAAAAAACCTTTTAAAAAAAGAAGAGAAAAATTTTTATTATAAATTTTATTGTTAACTATTTTCTGGTAACAGTATATCCTGGATATCTGTCAAAATAAAATGTATCCGTGTCACACTTAAAATAATATTTTTTTTATCAAGAAATTTTGAAATCAATCATATCGAAATATCACCAAAGAAAATAACAGAAACATCAGAGATTCTACATGAAAAATTAAATTAAATCAAGGAAAGTCTTACTAAACAAATCCTCGATTTGATGCAACATTTCCATATACATCATCCGCCATTTTGAAAAATCCCAAAATATTCTTTTTTTTAAATCGATTTTTGACAGAAATTGCCCAGAAATTAAACTGTTTTAAATAGTATTTTTCGCCAGATATATGTTTGAATATACTTAATCGATTTGCAAAGTTTTATTTTTATTAACGGAATTTCTTTATTTGTTATACAAGTAGACATGGGTATCGGTACATTTAGCATTGAGTCAACGGAGAAATAACGAGAAAAAGTACATGTTTTTACGATTCTCCAGTGACAGAATTTAATCAAAAATTAAACTGTTAGGACCAACATTGTTTGATAGAAATATGTTTGAATATCAAGGATTGATTTGCAAAAGTTAGAAAACGGGCCAGGTTAATGAGAAAACTAAACTTTATTGAAGCACCTATGCATTTTATATGGGGCAATATAATACAAAATGGCGGCTAGTATACGTCTCAAAAGTCACGTGATGTCTGACTTAGTTGGATATGATTATTTTTGTATAAAGCAAAGATACCGCCGAGTTCACAAAATCTTTTTTCCCTGATGGTCATTGACGAAAATCTGCTGGTTCTATCTATTATTTCTATTGCAAAATTTTGATGGTCAAAACCTTTGGACCATATGCACCACTTTTCGAAAACCTTAATTGTATATGCATGTTTACAAGGTATATGTACAAGGTCATGGCGTTTTTCAGACTGTTTAGGACTAAATCCGTTGGTTGTGTACTGATTGATACTTTAGTCGGGGAGAACAAGATGTATTTTAGTGTTTAGTTGTAATTAGTTTTGAACAAACTTTCAGTAACTGCATATGCTTTTATTTCGGTGTTTTGTGTCTATTGTCTTAATGTTAGTTGTTTTTTTTTTGTGTGTCTCGTACCGATCTTTTGAATTAATTTATTTGCAACTGATTTTTACAGTTTGTTCTTATGTTGTACTGTTACACCACTGTCCCAGTTTAGGGGAGTGTTGAGCGCTCACAAACATGTTTAACCTTACCATATTCTTTGTATGGCCTGTCAGGAGCCTGTAGTTCGATCAGTGGTTGTCGTTGGTTCATGTCTGTCGACTCATATTTGATGTTTTGTAAAAAAAAATCTATATATAATTAGGCCGTTAGTTTTTTTGTTTGAATTGTTTCACAATTTTCATGTCGGGGCCTTTTTTAGTCGACTATACGGCATGGGTTTTTGTCATTGTTGAAGGCCGTATGGTTGCCTAAAATTGCTTACATCCACTTCATTTGAACTCCGGTAGATAGTTGCCTCATTGGCAATCACACCACATCTCCTTATTAATTTCTATATTATATACCTGACTTTTAAACTCGTGTTTTCCTAAAAATGCATTAAATATTTGTCACTTGACGTTAGAAATAAGCAACCACTAACAATCAATCAATTTAAACTTTTGTTTTAAGATTGAGTAAGGGGAAAACCATTTGATGTTTGTTTGGGGGTGGGGTGGGCCGGGACAGGTGGATTTTAAATATGAACATGCATGCATGGTGGCCTCTGTAAAGGGACGATTAGCATGATTAGCGACTGATTAAAATGAATAACAAGGATCTGTATAGTATCTTTCTATACAAATCCATATGAATAATAAATCCGCAAAAAATCCTCCTGCAAAACCCCCCCCCCCTTTCCCAAGAATATCAAATAGTCGTCACCTTATACTGTTATTGTCCGTGCAGTTCTTATATTTATCCAGCTTATCGTCCCTACAGGGATATCCTACTTAGGCTGCTTTACCATAAAAATGGTTATCACACAGCTCACATTCTATTATATCTGCATACATAAATTTATTAATGTCATTTACTAGTGAGACTAAGCGACGCCACTGATATTTGTTATATATGTGCCTCTGTCGTCTAAACTACCAATTTGTAAGGAAGAGGTAGAAGAGAACCAGAAGATCTTCCCAATGCAAAAAAAAAAAAAACAAACAGAAATGGACCTCTTCTGGCTCACTACCGAAGAACAAAAAAAAAAAACAACACTTCCTTGTACTTTCCGTGATTACTTCATTGTGGTGCGCTGTTGTATAAAATGGATTACTGGTCTTTAGTTATATTTTAAGGATTCTCTGGTGGAAACTAATTCCCCAGAACCTACTCTTCATGTTTTATTTCATGGATATATCAAGGTTTTTTTTGATACTTTAAGCAGGTAAACATCACGGGAAGCAAGTGTTGTAAACTGTAATTAAATATTTCTACCATGCAAACTGTTATTCTGGGTGAACATGAACTCTTCAGTCTTCAGTTTTCAGCCAAATTATTCAATCATGAATGGTCCCACGAAAACTTTGCGCAGTGGTCAGTGCCGGGAAGCGTTGCTATTTTTCTCAGAGCTATTTACAATATTAAAACAGTCTCCAACAGAACAGGATCAAGAACAAGCACATATTTTATTACCAATTAAGGGCACACAAGGGGCATATAGATAGAACATTGATTAGCTTAGAAATATAGAATTTTAAAAATACACAATCACAATACAATTAGACTGTAATAAAGCCATTGGTTTATAGTTACATAAAAAGTAGATAGATCAAACTCATATTGACTTTAATAAATTTTCCAACAGCTACACAATTGAAACATTCACACCCCACACATTCACATCCTGGGTCTGTTCGCACCTGGTTTGAATATGATGATGGATGGCTGCTTAATGTCCAGCGTCAAATTTATATGCATATTCAGGACGAGAACATGTTAATGTAATATTAATATTAACCCTGCTTTGTACTAGACCGACACTGAGTTATAACATGTACAAAATTGCAACTTACACAACATATACATTTTAAAATACATCTTATAATCATGATAATTTAACCTGTACAGGCAGATGCTGTATTTGAATAAAAATATGGTGCAAACGAACCCAGTGGCAAACATATTGGGTGTGAACATGTAGGGGGTGAATGTTTTTTGGAGCGAACAGACACAATCCTCAATCCTCAATCTTATGCCAAGTTATGGCCTTATGGCACAACTGTTCTCATTGGTGCATATTTTAGTAACGCCCTATGTGAATCTTCCTCCATGCATTTTCCTCCTGACACAATATCCTGAAGGCTTAGCATTGGTTTATTTGTGTTGAATTATAATAAAATATTGGTCATAATGTGTAATGTTATTGATCAATATGAACATGATGAATCTTTTAGACATTGTTAAAAGTCATTTATGTATGTCTCAATATTGGTTTCTGTTCTCTAACTTTAGATTGCCTCAACCAAAAGTGATGAAACTTATACACAATGCTTATTACCACAAAATACAGATCACTTTTGAATTTGGGTGGCATCACTTTTACTCTTCTTGAGTTATACCCCTTTATAACTTTATATATGCAAACGGGGGCATCATCTTTGTCCCATTCACACATTCTCCATTTATTTTCTTATTATTTCATTCTCATTTTACATGTTTTAGGAGGCAAATCCTGGCGCAGAAGCACATTGATTTCAATCGACTTGAATTTTAATATTTTTCTGAATTGTAATTAACTAGTGAAAGTTTGTTGTCGAAAATTAGACATCCATCATGTTCATGCATATGGCTCAATGTGGCTATTAAATACTCATAAATTTTGCAGTCTTATAATTTATGTTTACCATGTTTACAAATGATGTTTTTCCGCTATAGAACTAGTAAACAATGTAAACAATTATTTTAGAATTAATATAACTTTGATTACATAAGAAATTAAAGTGTTTCAATTGGTCCGAAAGAAAAAACGTCAATTTGATTGTGGAAAGATCTTGTCATGGAAATTTAGAATATATAATTATATCATCTATATGGTCTAGGTAGTCAAGGGTACTACTTGTACAAGTTTTTTTATTTACTTGAAGAAGTAAATATTAATATACTTATATTATAAGTAAAATTGTAAGATGCTTATACAAGTGTATCATGCTTGTATAGGTAAATTATTTTAATGGCTTAGTTATGCATGTTATGTCCCTTAGACATTCAGATTTTTTTTACTTATACAAGTTAAAAGTCATACTATCTTCTTTTCTTGAATTTCTCAGGACTTCTTTGCTCTTATAGAATTTGTAATTGTCTGTCCTTTGCAGGTGTCTTTACTAATCATTGAAGTGTAATTTCATATACATGTACAATGAAAATCTCATTTGTCTTCAAAATACTGCTCATTTACAAGCCGCCAACGGGCAATTTTTGAAAGCCTTGCGCAATTACTTAAAACCTTTGCACAATTAGTTTCTCTGTTGAATTAACGAGATGAAACATTGAACTCTAATAAAAGATTATGAGCTAAGCAGAGATAAAATTGTTTAAGGCATGTTTTTACATCCCAAAACTTGAGAATTGTAGGGATTGTAAAAAAAAATTACTTACACAAGTAAATTTTTTGAGAAAATTAAGGGGAGATTATTCAAACTTTATACATGTTATAAGAAAATTTGAATAAAAAAATTTACTTATACAAGTGTATTATTATTTACTTCTTCAATAAAAAAAAAAACTTGTACAAGTAGTACCCCTGACTGCTAGGAGTGCAAAAACAGATGTAAGACAACAGATATTTTAAAGTTGAAGTTTTCCAAAAAATGGATATTTATACAGATGTTTTACAATGAACCTGTGTAGATGCTATCTGTAATACCTTTGAGGTTGATTTGGAGTTGAGATATTTTGTGATGTGAACAACTTATTTTAGAATATTTATTAGACAAGTCATAATATTTCTTCATATGGTGGTACATGTACATCTATAATTAAATTTGGGCAATCTTATACATGTTATAATGAAATTACTAATATTGACAGAATATGTCTAATATATATGGCCTTGTGCATTATTATCAAAATTATCACACCATGGCACTCATACCACAACTTCTTATATCTATGGATAATTGTTTTGAAATTTATTTTTTGATACTTTTCAGATCTACAAATTATTAAGCAATAGCTTAGTCTAGCGTAATGAGTGTGATGTATTGAAATTAATGTTGTGTTGCTGATCAGCTGATAAGGTGAGCAATGGCAACAAAAGTTACAGCTAATCCTGATCTTGATATATTTAAAGAAGAAAAAGAAGGAAAGTTACGAGAAGTTGGAAATCAAGCAGTATGGTCCCTGTCTTCATGTAAACCAGGTAAAAAAAAGTAATAATTGTGATGAGATAGATTTCGAAAAAAAATACAAAAATCACTGTTTTATATATAGCACTATTTACATGCAGCATTTCCAGTAATGGCCCAACGTGCACTGACACAGAATAACAAGTGCATTACACAGCAATTTCAAATTTGGTTATTCTTACAGTGTTCAAATTGTTGATTTTCGTTTATTGTTTTATACATAAATCAGGCTGCTGGCGGGCACTGGTTTTCTTGTTTGAATTGATTTTACATTTGTCATTTCAAGCCTTTTATAGCTTACTTTGCAGTATGGGCTTTTCTTATTGTTGAAGGCTGTACTGTGACCTATATATAGTTGTTAACTTCTATGTCATTTGGTCTCTGGTGGAAAGTTGTCTCATTGGCACCATACCACATCTTCTTATTTTTATATTATAGAGGTTGTTTGAATGCCTTATTTTCAATTTCAGATGCCTGTGTGAACTATATAGGAAGTTATTACCTGAAAAAATAATATTTAGTTTTTATTTACTTTTTTCTGCTGCTTAAGATGTCTTTTTATGTTTTATGTTGTTGGATTGTTATGTCAAGGATATATAACCCTACTCCATTCATTCATATTCATTCGTGATTATTGCTTATAATAGATTGATAGATCCAGACATTAACATGATTAAAGTGATACAGGCTCTTTACATCATCTTATTTGGGACCTTTCTCTTCAACACTGCAGACTAATATTACCTAAAATAGTCAGTCACATGACATCCAGACTTATTTAAGTCACTCATTGTGAAATTGTTTTTGCATCTTTAAATTTAACACATTTCTTGCACATCTGTAGGTTTTGGAGTTGACCAGCTAAGGGAGGATTCTCCGGACACTTACTGGCAATCAGATGGTCCACAGCCACACCTAGTTAACATACAGTTCAGAAAGAAAACTACCATTCATGATATCTGCATCTATACTGATTATAAAGCTGATGAAAGCTATACTCCAAACAGGTATTAATTAAACACATCATAGATACATGTACCAGGATTTAAATTTTGTACTCCAGACGCACGTTTTGCCTACAAAAGATGCATCAGTGATCATGGTGATGCTCAAATCAAAAAGGTTGAATAGGCCAAAGAAAGTTCAAATTTGAAGAGCATTTTTAGCCATAGGTGGAAACTTCTAATGAAAATTCGAATGACAGGAGACTGGGAATTTAATTATTGAAATTCACATTCCACAAAATGGGATCATTCAAAATTTATTTTTCAGAAATGGAAAAAAAAAGTTCTAGGGTCGGGGGGGGGGAGGGGGGGTTTAAACTAAGGTTGGTCGGGTAACTGAAACCTCACATATATCTTTATTTGGCCTTTTTAGGCTTATATGCTGACTGATCATTTGGTAAATGATCATTTGTTAAATTGTCTTCCCAACATAAATACAGGATATATTATATACAGGATAAATTTAAATATATGGACATATATATTTTGTCATTGTCAAGTCAATCAAAAAGGCTTGTCAATGCATTAAAAATTGTGTAAATTTCCATAAGAACAGAACAAAACTTAACATAACTTCTTTATTTTATGTGTTGTTGTACATGTGCACCTCCATAATTTTGGCTGCATCTCATGACACAATTTTGATACAATGGGAAGTTTGTCAACAGATTTAACTCCTAAGGTTTAAATATTTTGTATATTATTATTGAAAAAGATTAATGATAAACATTAAACTTTGTAAATTTTTTATACCGAACTGCTTTTCTGGATTTAACTTCATCTGCTCAAAGTAAAATAATGTTATGATCATCAATAGATATGAGATCATTATGTTGCAGACATCATCCTGATTTTTACCATTGATTTTTTCATATAACGGTTACATTTGAATTCGATATGTTGGAGCATTGTTCCCTTTCTGAATATAGACTGATAAATACCAAAATGATGAAGAATGATTTTTAATTCTTTCGAATTTTAAGAAAGCTAGTTTTACCTAATGTTTAGTCTGTAATGTCTTGTGATGTCCGTAACTGCAGTTATGTACATCAGTTTTAACCAAGTCAACCACCTGCTCACAGTTTATTAAATTTTATTTCAGAATCTCAATTAGGGCTGGTACCCATTTCAATGATTTGGTGGAGGTTGAACAGATAGAGATGTCAGAACCAGTAGGATGGGTGTGTGTACCAATGAAAGATGTCAATGAAAAACCAATAAGGACATTTATGATTCAAATAGCTATTTTGTCAAATCACCAGAATGGACGAGATACTCATTTACGGAGAATTAAAGTACGAGCTCCTGTACAAGACATTTCATCAGCAAAAATCCCTAAATTTACTAGTCCTGAACTTTTGCAGTATGCTTATATTAGATAGCATAGGTCGAAATTTAATATTTGTAATTATTCGATTTCAAGCGTAAAAAAGAAAAAAAAAATCAATGAAATAATCTGTAGTTATCATTGTCATTCTGTACATTCATGACATTATCCGATTAGAAATACATGAATGTTAATTAAGGACTGCTTACTCTTGATCAAATTGGTACTAAAACAATCACATACTGTAAATTCAGAAATTATTGTGTGCCTTTATTATTGCGATTTCCGAGGAATGATAATAAATGCAAGGTTAATTTTTGCGATTTCATGAAAATCTGCATACAGATATATGTAGTAATTATCAGAATTCGAGTTCTTATTATTGTGGTAATCACCAAGACACATTACTCATATTAATAAATGCCTCACATTAATTTCTGAATTTACAGTAAAGATAAATTTTCACCCAATTTGGAGTTGGTTGATGTTTTTTGTCTTGTCTGTAGAAGTTACGTAGGAAAGACTCTGGTGTGCTTTTTCAAGTAGTGTTTACTACAGAGGTGACAGTTGCAGTCGAGGCAGTATTGTGATCAGTGATTTGTTTAAGTTAGTGGTTGGATCACCTTAATAGGAAACTAGTACTGTAAATTCAGAAATTATTGCGACGTTTCAGGGTCCAGTGACTGTGAATTAATTAGCAAGGTGAAACATAACAATGAGTCAACAGTTTTTATGTGCGAAACGAGAGATAAGATTTGAAGGGAGCATTTAAAAACATATGTCCAACACCCCCTCCCCCCCCCCAAAAAAAAAATAAAGAAAAGAAATAACCAATAGAAAAAAAATGTAAACGTCTTCATTATTACCAGATTGAGAGACCACTAGAATTCTGATATCAGAATACACTTGCATAATATATTTCCAAATACAAAAGGTAAATGCCCTTAGACATTGACCAATCGACTAAATGAAACACAATGCATTGTGCGCTATTTCGAGTTTACCATCACTTAAGATCATATGGAATTTGGTTAAAAAGTGTCATTTTTGTCGAGCCTGTGACTTTTGTCGCAGAAAGCTCGACATAGGGATAGTCATCCGGTGGCTATGGCGGCGGCGTCGTTAGCTAACTTCTTAAAAGCTTTATATTTTAAAAGCTAGAAGACCTGGATGCTTCATACTTTGTATATAGATGCCTTATGTTACGAAATTTCCGTCTGTCATATTTGTCCATTGTCCTTGACCTCATTTTCATGGTTCAGTGAATACTTGAAAAAAAAGTCAACATTTTTTGTAATGTTAATTTCTTTCTTATTATGAGTAATAGGATAACTATATTTAGTATGTGCGTACCTTGCAAGGTCCTCATGCCTGTCAGACAATTTTCATTTGACCTCAACCTCATTTCATGGATCAGTGAACAAGGTTAAGTTTTCGTGGTCAAGTCCATATATCAGATACTATAAACAGTAGGTCTACTATATTTGGTATATGGAATGATTGTAAGGTGTACATGTCCAACTGGTAGGTGTCATCTGACCTTGACCTCATTTTCATAGTTCAGTGGTCAAAGTTAAGTTTTTGAGTTTTGGTCTTTTTTTCTAATACTATATGCAATAGGTCAACTATAAATGGTGTATGGAAATATTTTATGATGTACATGTCAGTCTCACAGATTTTATTTGACCTTGACCTCATTTTCACGGTTCATTTCTCAGTGTTAAGTTTTTGTGTTTTGGTCTGTTTTTCTTCAACTATAAGCAATAGATCAACTATATTTGATGTATGGAAGGATTGTAAGGTGTATATGTCTGTCTGGCAGGTATCATCTGACCTTGACCTCATTTTCATGGTTCATTGGTCAATGTTAAGTTTTCATGATTAAGTTTGTTTCTTAGATACTACATGTATAAGCAATAGGTCAACTATATTTAATGCCTAAATTGATTGAAAGGTGTACATGTCTGTCTGGCATGGTTCATCTGACCTTGACCTCATTTTCATGGTTCATTGGTCAATGTTAAGTTTTCTTGTTTAAGACTTTCTTAGAAACAATAAGCAATAGGTCAACTATGTTTGGTTTATTGAATGATTGTAAGGTGTACATGTATTTCCCATTTCTTGGATCATGTTAAGTTTATGTGTTACTTGTAGTAAAGCTTTGTATTTAGGACTATCAACATAAAATCAATGGTTAGTAAAGAAGGCGAGACATTTCAGCGTGTGCACGCTTGTGTATTGTATCTCAGAATCTCATGTTTGATTTTTTTTGTTCATCCAATGTTATACATGTGATGTATATATATATATATATATAGCATAAGCTTCAACTTGCAAGCTCAGAGTTAAAAAAAATTGTTCCCCAGCTTCACCTTTCAACATTTTTTTCGTCTTGTCAAAGTAGTAAAGAACAGATTTTGTCAGTTGTTCTGCATTGTATCTGTGTAATCATTTCACTTAAAATCAACAACTAAGTGTCCATTGTTCACTAAATCTCATTTGAGCTCTTTAAACTAGTTGAAACCTGTTGAAGGAATGGGTGGTGTGAAACTCTTATGCTCTAAACATTTTCGAATCGTGTATTCTTGTATCTTTTCAAAAATGATGGTCTTCCAATATAGCACAAAGAATATGGCAAAGAAATCCTACATGACACATAATTTATCTGCATTGTTTGCGCTGACTTTTCGGCTTGCCCTGCTATCAAAATAATTACATTAAAATTAGTCTAGTAATTCAGTATTCTCAAAAATTTGTTATGGAAATAGACCAGGACACCTGTCTATGGTTGCAGACTTTATGCTGCCCTCTTGTTTTTTATCGTGTGTTTGCTGTCTCGATGATATATACACCACACCGCCTTCAATTTCATGATTAAAACATATAAAACTACATCATACACTTGTATAAAGCAAAAGTAAAGGAAATTAAAGAAGCTGGTGTAATAGTTCATAACACAAAATCACCTCACCTCACCTGCCATCCTTTGCGATCATCATCTGTTCTGTGTTCTGTCTAAAAGTCTTGTTACAAATGTACATATTACAGGAGTGTGTTTATTAGCGAATGATGTGATATTTTTTTTTTTTGCCCCCCACAACTGAAAGTTGGGGGCATATTGTTTTACCCCTGTCCGTCTGTTTCCGTCCCATTATGGGTATGTAGTTATGCTAGATAACTCCTCCTACAGTTTGAGTACTAGGAAGTTTTCACTTTGCTGGCTGATTGTGCATATATTGAAGGTATGCATGTGGTCAGGGTTTTGATTTTTATTGATATTTGCTCTTTTGGGAGATAGTTGAACTTGTCATTTTTTGAAGTATATACTTGCATAAGAGGTGCATAGCATTTCCAGATAACTTCTCCTACAGTGAGCCATAGACCTATGTGCTCCCATGCTCAACTTTGTGTATTTTAAAATAACACTTTTCATCTGCAGGGGCATCATTTGTGTCTCCCAGACACAATAGTATCCTACATTGACTTTGTTATGATACAGTTACTTCACTTTGTCTAGTTTTTATTTATAGTGCTTAGATGCAAAAAATGCAAAATAATAATAAAAATTGTTGCAGTGCCATGTAAAATTATAATTAAATGTAGAGTTCTGTTACCTATTTTATAACGAATATTGTATGATTTTTATAGGACCACAAATTTTTCTTGTTTCAGGACCATGCCAAAAAAGGAAGGTTAGGATGGATATTGGGGGTTATGGCCCGAACTGTTTAGGAAAAAGGGGCCAAAAACAATACTTTTCTAATACATTTGTACTTTGTATAAATTGCTTTTTTTTTACCAATTTCAATGTGGTTTAATTCAAAGTCTTGAATTCTTGGGGTTCTTTAATATGCTGAATCTAACTGTGTAAATGTCAAATTACAAATTTTGAACTTCTTAGACCACATTCATTCTGTGTTAGAAACTATGCTATGTAAAATATTTAATCACAATCCAAATTCAGAGCTGTTTTGTACAATTAATAGAAATTGTAAGGTAGAGTCATAGTTAAAAATAAATTCAGCATCAAATCTTATGTTAGAGAAGGAATTATGTATAAATATATTTTGAAATTTATGGTTCATTATAAGATAGTTTGAAAAATAACCAAGGGAAAGTTTTATAGATATATGCATTTTTTATTAGTTTATCCTGACTATTTCTACATAAATGAACATCCTGCCTTTTTTTTTGCAAAGTTGCTGATCCTGCCTTTTGTCTTACTCAAAACTCCTGTCCTGCCTTTATTTTTCAAATTTCATTCTAGCCCCCCCCCCCCCCCTACAAATCAAATGGTAGCTCCCTAATGACGATTTAAATTTTGGAAATTATTTTTGTTTTCCTTTTTTCGTGTTAGGCATGTTTGTTATTCTGTATAAATTAATTTTCCATTGTCATGAAACTATTACACAATGCTTATTACCACAAAATCCACTTCAAGTTCGAATTGGGGTGGTGTCAAAATTACAAATTTTCTATGGGAATGTTTGCCTTGTTAAAACCTTGTTAAAACCACGAAATCAAATACTCAAAAAAATGACTTCGTCAATCAACAAAAATTGGTAAACACGAAAATAAATGAATCCATAGAAGGTAGAAATCCAATTTCAATTTTTTCCAGTTCGTTGACCACATTAATTCTGTGTCAGAAACTATGCTATGTCAAATATATAATCACAATCCAAATTCAGGGCTGTATCAAGCTGGAATGTTTGTCCTTACTTGTCCCAACTGTTCAGGGTTCGACCTCTGCGGTCGTATCAAACTGCTCCAATATCTCAACTGTATCAACCCAAAACACCAATGTAATCTGAGAGCTCTGAGGGTTGATGCGATATGCATGATATGTGCCTTATCCTATACTTTTTAATCGGTTTTTGCCACGGTCTTGACACTTTCTCTTCCGACTTATAAGTTTCGAATGTCCACTTGATTTCTGCCTCCTTTTATTATTATTTTAAACAGCTGTTTTGGTTTTCGCCTGTGCAACCATGACTGATATCGATATTACCACGGATGGCTGAGACTGATCGATTGCCATTGACAGTATAACACGACTGAATATACTTGTTTTTACCATCTTATAATGTATAAATAATTAAACAATAAGTTAATAACAATGATCTAACAACATCGATAAACAAATCATAGTTTCATTAGGCTAAGAGCAGATAAAATTTCTTTAGACGAAACAACAGATGTGGGGATAATTCTATGAAATACTAGTGGTATACCAAATATATTCAATGGATAAAGCAAATTATTTTTTTATCTGCTCATTTTACTTGTAAAGACTCCAAAGATTACAGAATGTATCAAAGAAAGAATCTGCTGGTCATATTTCATATGGAAGTTTTGATAATGAAGAAGTATATATAAAACATTTTATGTTTATTTAATTTCTATATTACATTATTTGTTAAATATGTTCTTATTCATATATATAGGAGACAGATAACATAAAATATTACAACCCACAAAAGACGCAATAAAATATTTAGTTTTCTTACATTAACATAATAACATTCAACCTATTAATGACAATCTCTTTAACGCAGTATTATAAAATGGATCGGATTCAAATTCTACAGATTTAATAAATGAATGTCTGGCTGATTCTATGTCTCCTATTAGTTGAAAAGTTATACCGAGGATGTTGTATGTTATAGCTTTCTCAAAGGCATCAGCTTTACCCATAAAATACTCTTCCTCTATGGTTAATTGTAAATCACGTAGACAACAATGACATTGGGTGGTATTGTTTTGATGGTAATGACAAAGAAAACAAAGGAAATGTGCATATACAACTGGCGGTATTATGTATGGCGTCGTATTTACCTCGATTTGTAATTCATCCGGTGATAATGTAGACTTTTTGTAAAACCATACTTTGTCTACAATCAGTAATTTCGACAATTGACCAATAGTCATCTGCCTAAACAAATTCAAGCTAAATATTTCAAAATGAATCTGTGACAAAGTCATGCCTTGGTAAAGTTTTTCCGGTGAACATTTGAGAAGAGAATATTGCAATATGGCAAGAGCTATTTTGTATTGTTTAGTCTTATAGAAAAATGAAGCTAGCATCAGCCACCCAGTCACAGCATCGTGTCTTATATTCAGTAACAACTTATTTATACATGTTTTGTACTGCTTATAGATATATTTATTATCGTTTATCGCATTAAATTGTAGAAACTGGACTCTATAACAAGACGCCTTTGACATATAAAACAAGTAAAGGTATTTTATTTTGGAACTCTCAATAGATAATGTCATGTGGACTTCTTTTCCCAATGATGAATGGACAATTGGGATAGCACAATTTGTCATAAAGTTAAATGGGGATAATATTAGTTTAAGACTATCAACATATAGCTGACCCGATTCTTTGTCAATGTGAAATACTATTTCATTGAAATACGATATTTGATCTGAAAATAAAATACATCTCCACCCATAACTATTTAGAGTGTTTAGCTTTTCTAAGGGTGTTTCTTGTGCGTGTCCTTTAATCTTCATATCAAATAAATTAATCTCAGGAATAAAATAATGTGGACAAATTGAGTTTTCAACACAGTACATCAGTCTCCTTACACACCTCATAAAATTAGATATCAGGTTTTCTGGCCTCCATATTGAAAGTGAAAGTTCCTCTGAAATCCAAAACAAAATTGTTTTCATAAAATATGAACAAAGTAGTTCTTTACAATTTAAGTCAATATCTATCACATCTTTGAGAAGAATTTTTATCATAGCATAACACACTAATTGTGTGTGTGTAAAGGTATAGACAAGCAGTTTTTCTGCAACGGAAAACGATGTTCGCCATTGCAATTCTTCTTTGGTAGATCCTTTCAAACCTACAGGTACAAATAGAACGCCGTGTTTTATAATAGACTGTTTAACATCGTATCTCGGCCATGCATTACTTGATCGTGTTATCCACTGTTGTGCTGGTGTTATCCATGATTTACTATGTAAGCAGGGTGCAATGTCGAAAACCCCGTCTTCGTCGGATACACACGGTCCATGAATAATCGGAGCAACCTTTTGCAGGAAATATTGCTTTATATAAATGTTTGAAAGGTAGTATTCACCTCCGATCTCTTCACAAAGCATTAAAGGGTTAAACTTATCAGTATGTATCAGACGTAATTGGGTAAAACCTGTCACTGATTCGCTCGTTTCCATTGTAAAATATGACTTATCAGGATTAAAAGGAAAGTTAGTGTTCTCACAAACCTCAATAAATTGAAATTTCTTCATAAAATCTATGTCACTTCCTCGCATCTCAAGTCCTTCTCCATAACTTCCACTGGAGAACATTGCCTCCTTCTCATTTATTGCAAGATTGTCTCTGACTGTATTCACCATTCTGATTGTTTTAACGTGATCCTCTGATCCAACGACTTTCTGACACATGAACCGATATAGAGCTACTGACATGATTGATTCGTCTTGTTGTGCTTGTTCTGAAATATAGTTTAATTAATTGACAGAGATAACGTTATTTACACATAAAGGTTTAATACTTTGCGCAATTATAAATGAATAAGGTGGGAGTTATTGTTGTTTTCCTTAATACATGTAATATTTCAATAACCCTTACAGACGATAATATTAGTATGTAAATTAATATTTTGACGATGTATTACTAAACTCTCTGTCTTATGCATCGAGTTCTACATGCAATTCGCACAAAATATCACCGTTATCATATGATAAAGCAATCTTTTAATATGTCGACCTGGTAGCTAAACATCAACTCTTCAAAGAGTTAAACAATCTCAATGAAATGGAACATCCGACCGTGTACAATGCAGGAGAACTTAAATACATATATGAACACTGAAACACATAAGGGATTTAACTCGGCGGGCATAATGCAGTCGACAGAATCAAATAGATCCAATAGACTCTACCGTACTGACAGCGCACACACATGAAAGAAGACAAACTTAACGCTGGACTTTGCATTATGCGAAAGTTCACATGCCATGGTTTATATTATAATACAAACATGTACGAGTTAAGTATTATATTAGATACAATGGATAAGGGTTGGTTCATGAAAAAGAAACCATTAGCCCGGAGATCGATTTTTTTTTTCATGAATCAACGCTTATCCATTGTGTTTCTCACTTAAACTATTGTGTTGATGTCTTTTCACAATTAAAGCTTTTTCTATATTAAAAGGTATTTTTGAGTGAGTTGCAATTAGCACGTTATTATGTTCAACGATGCATTAATAAATCAAAGTTCACAATTAATTGGTAAGAGAAATACAAATATAACACAATAGGTCTGTCTTTAAATTATTATGCATCTGAATATTATCTGTAATTTACATTATAAGACATATTCGAACGTATTTCTAAGTATATATAATAAATAAATGCAACAGTTGTATACCGCTGTTCAAAAGTCATAAATCGATTAAGAGAAAACAAATCCGGGTTACAAACTAAAACCGAGGGAAACACGTCAACTATAAGAAGAAAACAACGGAACAACAGAAAAACTGAACTGCAAAAAAAAACCGCCAACATACATAAAAACGGACTATTTGATAACAACTGCCATATTCCTGACTTATCACAGGACATTTTATGAACAAATGGTAGATTGAACATGGTTTGTTTTGGTTAGCCAAACCTCCTGCTGACAGGGCAATGTTAAAAAGTTTCGCTAAAGTAACAACACTACCTGACAGGAATACAGTACAATTAAACAAACGCAAGAACACTCAGCACAGAGAAATGCATAAATAAATAATAGAATAGTACATTACAACGTGTAAACCGCAGAATAACAACAAACATCTATTAATAAGTACGTTACCGAAATTTCTAGCAAGAAACCCAATTCTAAGCACATCACGATTTACCCGCATAAGGATTTGCGAATAAACATGTGTAAGGATATGTAGTAAAAGAGATGAAATCATACTATAGTTTAAAACAAAAATGGACAAATTGAATGTGATCATTTACTTTTAAAATACCTGATTCAAATAGCAGTGATAATCCAAAAATAAATGGGAAAACCTGTTGTAATACAAAAATATCCACAATGACATACAAAATAAGAAAAATGGAAAACTAAAGAATAGGGACAAAAAAAGAAAATCAGGAATTCGAGCCTAAACCGACAAGTCTCTACTTATAACTTGACTATATAGCTCATTGAACTTAACTTCCCGGCTACAAAATTATATTATACGATTGTCTATTATGTATATATAAAGGTACAAGCCCTGTGTGTCCGTTGTACCAATATGTATCATACGTGACAACTCTACAACAGATTTATCCATGGGATCACCAGCAGTGATGGTGATACATGGCTGTGTACATTCTGTATATACAACTCGTCTAAACATCAGCCTAACAATGTTAGATCTGTAAATTTGCTTTCGCAAATTTTTTGTTCTTCCCTCGCCGGGATTCGAACTCATGCTACTGAGATATCGTGACACCAAATCGCCTGCACTGTATCCGACGCGCTAGACCACTCAACCACCTATGCTTCACAAAAATAAAGCTTTCGGTGGCCGGGTGTTACCTTTCCCCGTCAGTTTTAATCTAGCGTCGTAATACAGTACATGATATATAAGGCATGAATATGGAATTGTTACAGATCTGCTGAAATATCTATTGTAAAGGATCCTACAAATTAATGCAAGACACAGTCACAGAAATAATTATATTTATAAGTACGTCTGAACCAGTGACAACTCTACTACAGATTTATCCATCGGATCACCAGCAGTGATGGTGATACATGGCTGTGTACATTCTGTATATACAACTCGTCTAAACATCAGCCCAACAATGTTAGAACTGTAAATTTGCTTTCGCAAATTTTTTGTTCTTCCCTCGCCGGGATTCGAACTCATGCTACTGAGATATCGTAACACCAAATCGCCTGCACTGTATCCGACGCGCTAGATCACTCGACCACCTAGGCTTCACAAAAATAAAGCTTTCGGTGGCCGGGTGTTACCTTTCCTCGTCAGTTTTAATCTAGCGTCGTAAGACAGTACATGATATATAAGGCATGCCTTATATATCATGTACTGTATTACGTGTTACCTTGTCACGGAAGGCGAATCTAGAGATAGACATAAGACATGTGTTTTAAGCGTGTGTAGATATTATATTATATATTATATATTACAAGTCTAAATTGCAACCCAATGGTTTCGTCGATGTGATGATGTCAGTCACACATAACAGATTTCAAGGAGGGGTTCGATTGTCAGTGAAGACATATAAAAATTACAAAAGTTAAAGATAAGTTTTTAAATAATTTTTATTAGTGACCAGAAATCAGTAAATAAGCCAATTCAAACGTAATGAAATTAGGCATGCAAAGGAAACAATTGAATATCATTGGGGAGTCCATTTCAGCAACAGATTTAGGAAGCGTTGATTCTAGAAAAAGAATCCATGGTAAATGAATATGCTGACGTCACGGCAATGGTTTAAAGGTAAAGACACAAATATGTATTAAAAGAAAATCAATGATGAGGATCATGATTTTAGACAGACGGAAAACATGTGACGGTGTGCCAACACCATTGGCCTTGTTAGTCTCGAACGACAGTGGAATAAAAATGTGCCTGCTGATATTGACATCGTCATGTCGTCTTACATGGCATGATTTTGCTCGATTTATGAGTTAACTTAAGATGATGTTTCTAAATCTATGTAAAAAATGACGTATTAGAAGTAGAAACGAGATTAATTTACGAGCCAAAAAATACATTACAGCTACTTTCTCATTGTATCACGATAACGTTAACGCATTACTGTAAATTCAGAAATTGTTGCGAGGTTTTTATTAATGCGAATAATGCGACTAGGTGATTATCGCAATAATAAGAACTCGCATTCTGATGTCTGTTACATATATCTGTATACAGATTTTCATGATATCGCAATTATAAATCTCACATTTTTGTCCATTCTTGAAAAATCGCAATAATAAATGCACGCAATAATTTCTGAATTTTCAGTAAATACTTAATGCCAAGGCATTGTTCCAGTTTGATTGTTTCTGTTTCCATTTCGCATAAGTCTGATGAATGTACACGATTCCTAATAATAATGTTATCTGAGTTATATTTCAGGGTTTTGTTCCTAAAAGAGGGGTGAAAGATAGCAAAGGGACATTTAAACTCATTAGTCGAAAATAAACTGACAACGCTAACGTAAAAGAAAAGGACCAAAAGTCATACAACATCATACAAAACACAAAATAGAAAACCTAAGACTGAGTAAAACCAACCCCATCAAAAACCGGAGGTGATCCTAGGTGTTCCGGAAGGATAAGATGAATATTTGTGTCAAACAATGTAGCGTTGGATCCTAATGTACAGATGCTCATTTTGTTAACAAAATCAACCAACAGACAACAGTTTAAAGTTGTAGAGCGCATGACTCCCACTTTGTATTTTCTTCTTTTAATGCACGAAATCACGGTTTGTTTCTGATTTGTCATTGTCCAAATTAAGATAACATTACGCGAAATGTTTACCCCTTTTCAAATATATCAGCCAGGGCTTTACAGAAATGGAAATAGCCTCTAAGTGTAAGTCTAATGGGTGCTCCCTTAAAAATATATAATGATACGGAAAAGATATTAATTTTATGTACCTCAACTGAAATGTGGCTAATTTAAAGGACACAAACTGAAATCTGATATATTTATTAAGAGCCTTTCACATTGTTTTCTTTAAATCGCGATCTTCTAATTTTTTGACGATATGCAAGTTAATATTTCTGGAGATATTCTTGAGATTGTATATATTTTATCTCTATTCTTCTAGAACTGTATTATGAATTTTAAATTTTCAACCTTTTAAACACTTTTTCTTATGTTGTGCTACATGCAGCTTGTTAACTATTGCCATAGGTTAGGGTGAATGTTCACAGCTCCCGTGTATGTTTTTTAAGCTACATTCTTAATGTGCCTATCCTTCACCAGAGCATGTAATCTAGTGGTTGTCACAGAATGCTGTCTACCATAATAAAAAAAAGAAAGGAATCGGGTTTCCACCAATGACACAACATCAGTATGTGCACAGCACAAAACACAAAAAGCAGCAGAACAACGTTTTTATTGCTGTTTTTCATCACAAAGTGACAGTGAGGCTTCAATACAAAACAAACAGCCTCATCTTAATGCAAGTTTAAGACGGCCCTAGAATTTGAGCGATTTTTTTTTTAAAACTGACGTTAAAACTGTGACTTGAAGAACAAAAAAATAAAGTAAGAAAATAAATCTGCAGAGAAATAAAACATTGACTTTAAAATTTAGTTCGATATCCACACTGAAGTGTGTAAAAACAATACAAACACTGAGACAACAACGGGGCACATCGGGATATATGTTAGATAACCTGACAGGAAATAACTCGGGTAGAGTTTGTAAGATGTAAAACAGCCAACTCGGGCCCGGTCAAAAAGAACATATAGCGTACATATTCAAAACAAAAATAGATCCTACGCAAAGGACTTGTGTAAATGTCAAACTAAGTAGAATGTATTTGTAATTTATGTATCAAACGAAAGGTGAAGGTGAATAACTTTTTATCGTTTAATCAGATAGTTTTTTTTTCACTTTTGTCATCCATGTGTATTTTACAGCTTGACCTCCTTATTTCATCAAACATCAATATATAATTGGTTGAACGGTTCTTAAGTAATTACACGCAAACTATAAAGAATATATTTTGCAATCAATCGTGAATCATGGCCCCTGAACGGTCAAAGAAAAAATATCATTAGCACAACCACCTAATACATGTTTTTTTTAAAAACGAACAATGATGTCTGTAATAAAAAAAGTCGTTAGAAATACCATGTAGAATAGATATTTAAAAGTTTATAAGCAGTTACTGTATTAATTACCTGCCATTTTGATGTACACTTTTTGTCTACCTGGATACACGAATAAGGGTCTTTCCCCCAAATCTTCTTTCGTTTTTATCAAAAAGAGTCAAAAATAGATTTTTGGAAAATACACATTTCGTACATAAAATTGCTAGTGATGAAACACATAGCTGCTTTAATTAGGATATTTTTACTTTCGTTTTTTTCTCCAATTTTTATAGAACCAAAATAATAAGTTTTAATCATTCGAAGTGAAGAATGATATTTATCATCTAACCTTTTGGTTACTTGCGTTTAATCATTATAAATCAATAGTTTTTCATAACTGTTCCAAGGTGTCTAGACGAGAAAATTCCTATTGAATTTTTGAATATTGATAATGATATTAATAAATATAAACCAAACTGATGTACGTAAACGCCTTATATATTGAACAATAATTTATAATTGAAAAAAAAAAAAACCAAAATAACACGTGTATTATACAATGTTATAAGTCCGGCTGAAACTGTTCGTAAACAGGTTCCAAGTATTGTATGGTCCACTAATTTGTTTCATGTTCTGAATGAGACCTTTTTATTTCAGAGCCTATGGATATCTTTTAAATAGTGTTTAATTTATTTGCACAAAACATGTTGTCAAAAACTGACGCAGAGGACGAATTTCAATCGTCCCACTAACAACTTCTTATTTCTCTATAGTCCTGTCACATAGTATTGTAATTTTAGCGATATTTTTCAGCAGTACCATATAAGCCGGAGGTTTTGCTAGCCATAAAACCAGTTTCAACCCACTATTTTTTCGTAAAATGTCCTTTACCAAGGCAGGAATATGGCAGTTGTTATCAAATAGTCCGTTTCTATGTATGTTGGCGTTTTTTTTTTGCAGTTTAGTGTTTCTGTTGTTCCGTTGTTTTCCTCTTATAGTTGATGTGTTTCCCTCGGTTTTAGTTTGTAACCTGGATTTGTTTTCTCTTAATCGATTTATGACTTTTGAACAGCGGTATACTTCTGTTGCCATTATTTAACAACTTCTTATTTCTCTATAGTTACATACCCTCAACCCTATTGTTTGTCATTTACATATCTGATTTGATAGGTCACACAAAAAGGTGTTGAAAAACTATTTTTTTTAAACTTGATATTTGAATATAATTGCCTGATGACTTGAATGATAATAATTAGGAATGTCAACTCGGTGAAGATTTACTAATCGAGTACTCGTTAGATTTACCGAGCGATACTCGAGTACTCGCTCGGATCAACATCTACAAAATGGAAACACAAAATTATACCCATTTCACGTATTTTGGGTCTTTGTCTTATGGACGTAAACTCTCAACATAATTACCTAGGACTAGATAATAGTCCCTGGAATTTTATACCATAATTGATAATAAATAATAATAAATCAATACCCAGCCAAACAGTTGACTTATGAGACACTACAAAACACATACATGTGCATATATCCAATAAACTGCATGTTAATTTGTAAAATATTTCTAGGGTTAAAAATCTACACTACTGGAACAATGCCCCGTAGATTGGCCGTGAAAATATCCGTAAAAATGCTGGTGATTTTTACAGTGTTTGTCACGGTTAATTTACGGTGGGCCGTGAAACTTATCCGTGACAATACCGTGGAATGACTGTCGTGAAAAGGCTGTGAAAAGTTTGTGAAAAGGCCGTGAAGAGGTGCCACCTGAAAACTTGGGTGAAAAGACCGTAGAAACCCTGTGAAAAAAAAATGTACACCGTGAAAAAGTCGTAATAATGCATTATGTGCCCATTGTGAAAAGACCGTGAAATGTAGATATAGTACAGTATATGCCTTTATTTGTCGTGAAAAGGCCGCGAAAACTTGGGTAAAGAGACCATAGAAACCCTGTGAAAAACAAAAATGTACACCGTGAAAAAGTCGTGATAAATTATGTGCCCATTGCGAAAAGACCGTGAAATGTACATGTACTACTGTGATAAACAGCCATTCACTAATTGTGAAAACTCCTGTAAAATGTTAAATGTATTTTTCAGGCCATAATTTAACAAAAACTTTAAATGCTGTTTCAATCAAGTGAAGTGAAATGCCTGAAAACCTAGTGTAAACATCTACAGACAACTTATTTAAGTACAATGCAAGTGAGACTATGAAAAACCATATTAAAATGCTGTATTTTTTTTAGTAATAATTGTGATAAAGAACAAAAAATTAATTTTAATAGAACTGTAGTAATTATGTAAAGAAAACATAAAAGCACACAAATGTCAATGTGATTAAGTAGCTTAAGTCAGCTGTAACATGTTTTGTTGAAATTTTGTACATCTCTTGGGTCTGATTTTACCACTTCAGCAATATTTGTCTAATGCAATCCTTCACTTCACTGCCCTTTTGAATAACTATTCCAGAAAAACTTTTATAGAAGTTCCTGTGTATTCCCAGGAAATACTTTTAACTGAAAAGCTCTTCTTTCCAACTGGATTCCTGAACTATTTTATATAAAGACTGCTATATCCTTTTGCTCTTCATTCCTAGAATAAATAAAGAAACATTACATATATTATACATGTATATAAAAAAACTATTTATATATTCAAATTAATTTTTGGCATTTATGTACATACATGTACTTAAAACAGCTACAATATTATTCCATGCAATACAGGACTTCACGGTTAATGACCCATATTGAATAGGGGGCAGATTTTCATACTGGAGGTGAAAATGGTATGAAAAATACTAAAAAACATCATTGAAACAGAACAGCCACTTGGAAACATGCATAGGTTTTCCCATATTTTCATACCATTTTCCAGAAAATCTGCCCCCTATCCAATATATATGGCATCATTAGTTAACGAAGTTCTGTATTGTCAACTTATATTATTTTTTTTAGATTTTTTTAAAGACTAAAGACACTTTTAAGACAGACTATTAAATTTAAATGTTTCTTTGAAGTAATATGTATGGCTAAAGTCAAACTTGTCTAGACTAAGTGGTCGTAATGAGTCACAGCTATTTATTTTACAGGGGGGCCAGGGGCGTAGCAACTTTTACTGCAGGCACATTCGCCATACCAATTATTTTTTAAACACCTCATTGCCATACCAATTATTCTTATGATATGGCACAAACCCTTCTAGAAAGGACATTTTGCTGTACAAATATTAAATACTTTCCCTGCTACGCCTCTGATTAATCCCTTTTGAACTCTGTGTCCCAACGGCCAAGTCAGAAAATACTTAAATAGCTCCCGACACATTCAAAGGGGGTTACGCCTCTGATTATCAGAGTGAACTCCATTTCAGATATACTTATTGCTATTATAATCATTTCCAATTATCTATGTCTATGTCTACGTAGTGTACTGTACATAAATGTCATTTTTTTTTATATGGGGAAAAAGGACCCCCCCTTATTTTCCCCAAATTATGGCAAATACATAAACAAAACAAAACCGTAATCGTATTTTAAGGATCCGGTAAGTCTTAGAAAACATTAACCAAAATGATTAAAGGAATCATGTGCAACAGACTCAAATATAAGTGAATATATCACATGCATGTTTGCGCGGTTTCTGCAAATTCAGTGAAAATCAGTTCAATGGAAATGATCACAAACGTCATCAACATTTTGGTGATATGATGCATAAAAGAATAAAATATTAATAACTTAACTTACCTCAAACTTGCTGTCACTCGTCTTGCATCTATAAAGTAAATATTAATCGACCTTCGGCGTCTTTCAAATTTCCTACATAGCTTGCGGAAATGTTACAATTCCTCTAAAAGAAACACGAATCCGGATACGGTCTGATATTCCGGGAAGTTCTCGTTTTTACATGTTTCGGTTCCAATTAAAATTAATGTTTACATTGTTTATAATAATGTACAGACGAGAAGCAAAATACTTTTCTTTAAATACAAAATATTTATTGGCACAAAGTCATTAATTATAACAATGAATGGTTCCATTGAAAAGTCAGTCCTGTACTGCAGTACTGTAGTATTGCATATAATAATATTTAAACAGACATATATTTATAATGAAAAGTTTATAGGATATTTAGAAAAATGTGAGTGGAAATAATTACACCATATTACAATAATCACATGGGATGTTTTAAATCTGAATAAGGATAAGAAAAAATTGACATGAAAAAATATCACGGCCTTTTCACTGGTTTCAACAACCAGTGAAAAGGCCGTGATATTTTTTATTAAGCATAAAAGGACAAATTATCACGGCCTTTTCACGGGATATTGAAATTTCACGGTCTTTTTCTAACATCAAATATTTTTCACGGCCTTTAGAAATATTTTTTTTACAAAAGTCACGGGGTATTTTCACGGGGTTTTCACGGCCCTGTGATATTTCACAGACATTTCACGGCCTTTTCATGGGCTGTTGTTACAGTAGTGCTAATTAACTTAATTCAGAAATCGCTTTCAAAAATACTATTAAATATAAAATGTTATTAAAAATCATATACAATACTTTATTAGAAATTCTTTAAATTAATAGCTCATTTACTACATGCACTCATTATGTAAACTGGCAATGATCTAATCAATTAATTAATAAACATCTTTAGAAAAATATTTACTCAAACAACAGTATTTGTAATTCTTAAAAAAAACACCTTTTATGACCAACAAAGGGGTGATGATTAGAACTTACTGATACCTTTAATAATTCTCTAAGGGTCGACACAGGGTGCAACGAATTTGTTCTTATTTTGGAAATATTATCTTTCCAACTTTTTCTGGGACGAGTCGATTTCTCAACTTTGTTACGTAATTAATAGTCCAGCTGATGAAAATATTTGCTCTGACGGTAAAGAGGTGTGGGAATGACTAAGAGACGATAAGTTTAAAGTGAAAGCCTTGGAAAGGTGCTCTTGTTCATATTCTACATCTGTTCGAGGGAATTTTAAATGACAATTAAACGCAAGTATTCGAAGCTTTTTTTTTTAATTTTGATTAATTTTGATTAATAATAATTTCCCGGGAGGCGCTCTTAATAATATTTTTTTCTTTAAGAATGCAACAACATTCTAACAG